ATATAAGTAGATATATACTGTGATTTTGAATATGCAGATATATGTTTATTGAGACTTTAAAAGATGTTATGTGATTTTGAATTGTTCTTGATTAAGCACGAAGTGAATTAAGGGAAAATCATTTTTTTTGAAGGAGTAAATTAAGGTTTTGAAGGGGTGAATTAAGAGATTTGTGTTGAAAATTAGTATGGGCCCACAATAATTAAAGGATTATGATAATAATTTATGGAATTAAATATTTTATATTTAAAAAAAACAAATAACCATAATAAATGCAAATGCAATAAATAAGGGTAAAATCGAAATTAAAATAAAATMCTACGTGCAAAAATCTAAAAGTGTAAAATTTGAAAATTTTAGACATTTGTGTAAATAAGTTTCTAAAACAGCCATTCCAAGACATTATCTCCCATGAATAAAAACAACCTAAACCACAAATCCAAACCCATTAAAGGCCCAACCAATTCAATACCAAGAAGGAGACACAGAGGATTTGCTCCCCTCCATTAACAGCATTGTCGTAACATTAGTGGAGCAAAACTGCAACTCTTAAGTCAATGAACTGTCACCCAAGGTCCCAAAGCTTGCTTATGAGAACAGCAAATTAGAGAAAATCAACAATTCCTCGATGCTACTTAGAGTAAAGAAGCTATCTAAGAAAGCCATGCTGCCATCGCGCTTCGCTGGTTACTACCTTTCCAGGTGATCCATTAGAGACTCGGTTACTTCCATGAACAGACGGGAACTTATGCTCAGATTGGTATTTCTTCCTTTATTTACACATCTATCTTCCATATCACAAACTTTATTCAACTGATACATAGCGCATTTGGCGATTTTGCAGCCATTGTGTAACACCTCAAGCTCAGGATTCGAACCAGGATTTGGAATCCGAATTTGGTCCTAATTGTTCCAGCATTCATCCCTTGCGACCTAGCTGTGCCATCATTTTTTTCTGAGTACTTAGAAGAGTGAAGACTATCTCTACAAACTATTACGAGTCATTTGAGCATGTTTTTTCCTCACTCACATGCTTCCTAGTAAATCAACTAGGAGGTCACCTAATCGAAGATTGCCCCAAGCCAAGCTTGCTTCACTTTGAAGTTCTTATGATTGAGCCACTAAAAAAAGTGCATCTTGTTAATATAGGTAGCAACTATCAATTTTTTAAAGCTTTTTTGAACCATGCTTCTATGATCTCAAGATGCCTCTCATTTCAGATGTAGTACCGGTACATCCATGTACCCCTTCTCTCTACTTAGGCGTCACATACCAGCTTCTGTTTGTTTTGTCTTCGAACCACATCGTACTAGGAGGGGTTACGTAATCGGGCTTGACTTTGAAGCATGCAATCGATGTTGGTGCAGGTACGATAGATGCTAATTACAACGGTCCCATGGGAGTGATTCTTGAGAAAATAGTGACGCCAAAGGTGCTGGAGGTCGAGGATTTGGATTCGACTGCCAGAGGCAAAGACAGCTTTGGCTCTACAAGAGTTTGAGACATCTCTAGCTTCTTGGGAATGGAGAATTTCCGGTTCGCTTTCCCATTTTGCATTTCATTTCAATCAAACTTTGATCTTTGTGGGGTCGAAGAGGCTTATTTTTGTTGAACATATTGTCGCTGGCCGACGCCCTCTTTTAAGGATCTCTTAAAATAAAATATTTTTGGAGTCGCCACCAATCATGTTAAGGGTGTGATTGATCATCCAATTAGAAGAAAAGTAAATTGGTCTATGCAAATCAGTTCGGGGGTCATTTGTGTGTAGGGAAGGTGTTTGCACCCTACAACAATTTCTGCTGCTAAAATCAKAGTTGTTTCAATACCAAAGGAGTGAACTTCACTAGAAAGGTTATAGAAGTGCATCACAAGTTTCTATAAAATGAAAGAAATKCAAAAGGTTTTTCATAGTATATAGAACGCCCGCTTACTCCCATCTCCTCTTACTTACGCATTTCCAAGAAAATCATGATCCCATCTCGATCAATTTCGCATTGATCAGGGCGGGCGTTTGAATCTCCAAACGACTTTCTTCAACCGCCCCTRTTCCAACAGCTAGAGATAATAAAAGTTCAGGTTCTTCCTCTTCCTCAGCCAATTCCCGACCGCTTTGCCACCTTAATATCAAGGAAGCCCACCCCAGTATCATGAACGCAGAGCGCCGAAACGGTTACCAGTATTTTATTCTTATTATCCAATTTATTAAATTATTAAAGGTCTACAAAAAATTATATTATTTTATTTTAAAATGTCTCAGGTTTATTAATCTACATTTTAGAAATAAAATATGAATTAATTACAATAGAGGCATAAATGTCATTTCAAATATGAAATTTTATTTTGACAGAAATTTCATGTATTTAAGAAATTTAATAAATACTTTTAAAAAAATACTCAATCTCCAATTTATTTGTTTAAAAAAATTGTGAGTGACTTTAATTTCATTTTTAATTGTTTAATGAAAATTTTACTTTCAATTATTGAAATTTATTTTAAAACGGAAATTTCATGTATTTATGAAATTTATAAAATCCAGAAAGATAACACTACTTTTTTTCAAAATTATGGAAATTTTTATATTTTTATTTGCACGAGAATTTTATGTATTTATGAATTTTAAGAAAACCCACAAAGAACACTACTAATTCTCAAATTTGGTTTATGTTGTTTCAAGAAATTGGTTTCAGAATTTTGTAAAAATTAATTTTTGAGAGGAATTTCATGTATTTATGAGATTTTAACAAAAATTCATAAAGAGAACACTACTCAACCTTGGAAATTAAATATTTATTTTGAAATTTTAGAAAAAAAAATGCACTTGATTTTCTATTTTTATTTTGCTTAGACGCATGGAATTTCCAGTGGATGTAAGAAATATAAAAATATGTATATACAACTGCATAACATCATAAATTTAAATCCTACAAAATAATGAGTAGCTTGAAAATAAATTAGATACTCCATGCCATCTAATAGTTATAATTAAATGATATTACATTCAAATTGATTTAATTTCCCAAAGGATGAAGAGGCAGTAAATCTCAAAACACAGGACAGGCAACAGAATATATATCCAAACAAAAAAGTGCAACAAAATGACCTTCTCTCCCATTTTAATTTAAAATAATAATGACAAATAAATAAAATAACCTGGAAGATAATTTCAAACTTTTATGTAGATGTTGGTTTGATTTGAGGCCATTTCAAAATAATTTTTAGACATGGAGATTATTTTGTGAGAGGTGATGAGATAGAGATTTTGGAGAGAACCAGAGGTTTTGGAGATGATACACTCAACTAAAAAAATGGAGATTTTTGTAGAGAAGATTGGGATATTCCAGAGAAATTTACTTACATTCCTCCCCTGTGTATTTCTTCTCCCATTTTGTGAGAGAATGTGTGGGAGGGTTGATGGGAGAAAAAATGGAGAGCGGGAAAATGTGAAGAAGAAGATTGGAGAGGGAGGAAGAAAACTAGTTGGAAACAAGGAAAATGTGAGAGAGGAGAGATATGGTTGAGAATGAGGAAGAAGTAAGGTATAATTGGGAGTGAGAAAAAGAAAAGGAAGTGGGAGAAAATTATGGATGAGGGAATATGGAGAGAAATTAAATGGGATATTTTATCTTTTAAAATTAAATTCTCTTCCAAATTCATAATTTCAATTTCGAATGGATTATTATTTTAGTCTTTGTTATTTTTATATTTTTTGTAATTTTAGTGACATATAACAAATACAACACAACAAATATCAAATAAAATTAAAATGACCCCTATCTACACATATAATTATCATATATTAGTTAGAACTTCGTTTTGCATCTGCTACTTCAATCACCGAGGGCCCGTTTGATAACCATTTTGTTTTTGGTTTTTGATTTTCGGTTTTTAGTTTTTCAAAAATAAAGTTGTTTGATAACCAATTCAAATTTTTATTTTTTATTTTTTCAAAAACCATTTTGAAATTTTATGTAAATTTCAAATAACAAAAAAAAGTAGTTTTCAAAAACAGATTTTTGTTTTTCAAAATCTGATTTTTCTTCTAATACTCAACTTTTTTTTTCTCTCATATTTATCTCTAAAAAATTTATTTCTCCCTCTAGAATTTTTTTATTTCTAAATTTCTCTCTACAAACTTTCTTTTTCTCTCTAAAATTTTCATATTTTGAATATTTATTATTATTTGTCTCTCCCCAAATTTGTATTTTTTTTCTAACAGACAAGTTTCATTTCTCTAATATTTTTCCTAACTTTTCTCTCTAAAATTTAATCTTTTATTATATTTTGAATCATGTTATCTCTAAATTTGTTTCCACTGTAATTTTTCTCTAAACTTGTATTTTCATGTCTTTACATTAGGGGAAAGACAAAAATTTCCACAAGGTCGGGTCCAGTAAATAGGAAATGCATGTCCCGACCCCATCCCCGTCCCCAATTCCATTTTTTAAATAATTAATCTATATTTATTACACTTTTTTATACTTAAATTCTAAAAATACTTAAAAACAATTATAAAACCAATAATTTTCGATAATTTTTCTTGAGAACATCTCTCGAACCCAAGAACAAGGTGGAGACGGAGACTAAAAATTTTCATGAGTACGAAAATGGGGAAGAGCATCCTCACTCGCACCCACATCATTGTCATCTCTACTCTACATAAAATTTTCTCTCTCTAATATGTATTTTCAATTTTCTAACTTTTTAAAAACAAAAAACAAAAAATGATTACCGAACATGTTTTGGTTTTGGTTTTCTGTTTTTTAAAAACAAAAAACAAAAAATAGTAATCAAACATATATAGTTCTTTTTGTTTTTTAAAAACAGAAAACCAAAAACCAAAAACAAGAAAAATCAAAAACCAAAAACTAAAATGGTTATCAAACAAGTCCTGAATTACTTGATTTTCATCCATTTCCGATTCAATCTCTGGTCTAGATTAGATTTCCACGTAGAACGAATCAGAAACCCACCAATACCAAATGCTGATCTAAGAAATGAAGTGTAGAAATGCATATCTTTCAACAATTTATTTTCATTTCAAATGCCTGGAAAATGCAACTGTTCCTCAGCATGACAAAAGAGGGGGCAGCACTGCAATTGTACCCACTGCACAATGTCGAAGATTTTCTCGGGAAAGAAATAGTCACTCTCAGCATAAACTTAAGCAAAATACATAATCGGTTTATGTTATTCGACATCAAAATTCTTGGCCAGCTGCAGGTTAAATTCTGGGTAGAAGAGTAGGAAGATCAGATGGAACATCCGAACTTGCCTGCAAAACAAGATGAGCCAAAAAAATCATAAAAGCCTCTAGATGCAGAGCAGAGCATTCAAGTGCTTAATTTACAAGCATCAACAGTAAAATTCAACACTTTGTTGGGATAATCATACCTCTAGATATCTCTTCAACAATGTTGTTGTACTGAAATTAAAGCCTTCAATTGATCCTCCCTTTGTTCGGGATGCGTTAAGTTGCTTACGGACCTGGGTAGCAAGTGACTGCATTCACACATGAAATATATTTAGTATTGCTGGACTTGGCAGCTCAAGGAAAAAAAACATGAACACGTTAGGAAAAGCATATACCTTCCCCAATTCAACTCCCCACTGGTCAAAAGAATTGATGCCCCAAACAAAACCTTCTACAGCAATCCTATGCTCGTAGATCGCCAGCAACTGGGGATTAAATATAATCAGTTGTCGCATCAAAAGTACGAGTAAGTTGAATGGACAAACTTCGAAAGAGGGTATTTTCCAAAATAAAGTAAAAAGTATATCAGATGGCATACTTGACCAATGTTGTAAGCATTCAATGATGGGAGAAGAATGCTAAGAGAAGGCCGGTTGCCAGAAAATGTCTGAAGAAAAGGGATACGTTAGGTTGTTGATTCCACTCTAAAGGATAGATAACACAAGTTAACATCAAAGTGTGTCACCTTGTGGGAAATAAGATGCTCTGGAACATTCTCCTTGTGCAGTTGCTCCGGTGTCTATAAAAAAGTCGATGTTCAAGTTATATTTAGAGATGAACGTCATGAGTTCCCACTCAATTTCCAGAAATGGGGGAGGGAGAAATACAAAATTAGTCCAGAGTTTTTTCAATATATATGATTGTCATGATAGAAGAATGGTTTTTTCACAGTACTTGTAGTGTAAAAACTGACCTTCCCATAGGCTAGGGCATCTGGCTGTGCAAAAAAGTTAGACATGAGCTCATCATGATTGCTCACGACCTCGCCTGCAAGACAAATGGAAAATTGGATATTGCAAGAAGAAACCCTCAATGGGGAGGAATTAGCATTCTGGCTTTCTTTCCAGCATCCATTAACGAAGTTTTCCCTCAACTAAAATCAGCGTTCAGATACCTTTTAGGTAAACAGGTTGCTGGCACTTTACAACACCGATAAAATCACAAGGAATAACCCGTCCCTGACATTTTCAAAGGTAATTAGTTTAGATAAACTAGTAGTCTATTTATAGCAATAACTAA